ATTTATTTTTGTGCACAGGTTATATGGCATACATACATGTCATTAAACTGTAAATAGTAGGGCATTTTAGATCATTATTACTATTTAAATAGTTATAAATTATTAAAAAAATAGAAATTTAATTTTTACAGTTATTTAAAGACGCTGTATTTAAAAAAGTAATACCTCTTATATAGATACCATTGTTAAAAATTAATCATTTATATTTACAAATATTCATTTTTAATTCGAGTATGAATCAGAAGGCGTGTCACCCGTAATAGTCAGCCTCAAATCTGTTATTTCCGCGGCCAAGACTTCGTCAACTATAAAATCAATTTCATAAAAATTGTTTTTCTCTTTTATTGGGTGGCTTATGAAATTTCCCCACATTTCTGCGTCCACACGGTTTACGCCCTCTACCAATAATTTTTTTACATCGGCAAGTTTGTACGACGAGTTGTTCATCCGTACATGGTTCTTGACCGATGACCAAGCTAATTCTATCGGATTTAGCTCGTAGTGGTACGGGGGCAGCCTTAAAATTATCTTGTTATTGGCTTTCGCCAGTTCATCAATAACAAACTTTTCGTGTTGTGGCTTTAGTCGTTTTACAATTTGGAGGAGTTCCGGGATAACCATAGGTTTGTCTATGACCTCTTCCTTATCCTCCAGCCACTTAATAATTTCCGCCTTTCGGGTAGTCGACGTCGGAGCTTTATCAAATTTTACCGAGTGGTAGGATGCATTATCCATAACAATGACGGAGTTTGGTTTTAATTGTGGTAAAATGCTCTCCATCCACTCACGAAAAGTCTCCCCGTTCATCTCGTCATTATAGTCGCTTGAGTTTTTTTTGGACTCAAAACATAGAAGCCGACCGGGAACAAAACCGTCTTCAGAACCTATATTTAAAACAATAAGACGTTTCCCTTTGCCTGACGGATTTGCAGAACCGGTTGTAAGTCCCTTGAGAAATGCGTCTCTGTGAGATTTAATTGTTGTGTCGACCCAAGTTCTGGACTTACAATCACCAGCGTTCACCTACGTCTCGTCAAGATAATATATATGCCGGCCTTCCTCGCGGTATTTTTTAACAGTTTCTAAATATCGTCTGCGCCACACAACTATTTCATTTTTCCCCGCCAGAGCATTGTTTCGACCGCGTTTACTGTACCGGAAATCCAATTCTTTCAATAAATTAAATAAATTAGTGCGCGATATCGATGGCAAACTATTATCAGCGGACACGACTTGGTGGATTTTGTCTACCGTAGGAATTTCACGGCGAAACCAAATGCTTTGGACGTGCCTACGGTCTGCGTTCCTATCGAACTCGTCAAATGAGTCGTGAAAGGTTTTTCTCACACGCGTTTGCTTAGGAGCAGTCACCGACTTCGTCTCACGGTACTCATTAATGACTTTGTGAATCGTCCTTTCATCAAAACCCAATGAGTCCGAAATTATTTTTCGAATTAGTCTCGTAGATATATTAGGAAAAGTTTCCAAATTTGCTCTATATAAATTAATGATTCCGACTCTTTCACCTTCACCAATTATCTAAAACCAGAATATTTTATTCTTAAAATATAATTTGTTGTAAAAATTGGAAAAAGATATGAAATCATAAATATTTGGACAGAAAGGTGACTGGCTATGAAGTAATGTAAGCAATATTATCTAAAGGCCAAAACATAAAACAGAATTTTTAAAAAACTTTTTATCAAAGTCGAATTGTAAACATAACAATAAATATAATATTTTAGCTTGGATGCGCACACGGAAAGTATTGTTTTTTTGGTCACAATAATTTTTTCCCCTCCTACCGAAAATTACCGAAAAACAGTTTTTTTCACAGAAATTGTACATTTTAACGTAAACACACTATAACTTCGAAAGAATGATCAAGACATGTATGCAGACTCTACTTGGTTTGTGCTGGATTTTTACTATCCACATACAAGCACCGATGTTTTTTTTTTAGTTATAATAATTCTTGTATATCTGTGACCTTTCCGTCCCCACTATACCCCAAAAACATTATAATGTCTTTTTTATACAAATAGTTCAAATATTGAAGAATGGACGAAATACTGTGTAAAAACTCAAAAAATATAACAAAATATCTTTTATCCCTGATTTATATACGTATTGTTTATAAATTTATATACATATGTTTGTATTTCATAATACTCACTTTTCCCCGTTTATTTCTCTTAATTGGCGATGGGCCTACTTCCATTTCGCTACCTAGTTCATCATCACTAGTAGAATAAATGTTGATAAATAATTAACATACACAATCAAATAAGAGAAAATGGCACTAGATGGCTTGTATGCGCGTAAAGTACACAATGTAAACTGAAGTCGCAGAAAAGAACTTAATTTTTTTAATAATACATTTTTTTTTTCTTTCGTTTTGTTCGGTTGTCGATGGTCTGTTTTTATATATATATATATATATATATATATGTGTGTATATAATATGTCGATGACCTGTGTATGTGTGTATACATATATATATATATATATATATAAATATATGTATAGGTCTACGACAACCAAAAAAAAAAAAAATATGTTATATACGCGAGTATGTTTTCTAAAAATACCGTGTTTATTGGCAAAATGTTTTCTTTTTAATTCTCTTTCTATTTTATCTACTCTTCTTATTTTTACTTAAATTGAGGATACGGAGTGATATTTTCAGAGGGTTTAGTGTTTGTGTGCGAGTATTCGCAGTTCGCACGGGTCAACTTATGTGATAATACAGCTCACTACGTATACACCTTGTGGGCGACGACGATCGCCATCAACGCTCCCTGTCATCAACATTATGCGCGAACGCGACCGTTTTAGTGGGCAAACTTAAACTGAATAGACTATAGTTGTTTTCTTTGATAGTTGGGAAACCCAGAAACAGCATAGCTCCCATTGAAAAGTTGTTCATAATTATTAATATGTGACGGTTTTAAGACATAGTTGAACGAATTTATGTTACCTCGCATTGTTATCAGCGTCAATTCTGTTGCTTATCAGTTGTAATAATTATTACAACTACAACTATTTTGAAGTTATTTTTAAAATAGTTATATTTAAGGAGTAAAACTTTGATATGGATGCTTTTAAGCAAGGTAAGTACGAATAAAAATTAAAGAAAATTTTCAAAAAATTGTCTTGTTATTTTTGTTACGTAACTTTAGAAGAAAAAAAACCAGTACAGTGGGGTCGGGGCATAGTGGGGACGGAGCATAGTGGGGACGGGGAGGTCACAGGTTTACAGGAATTTTTAAATCTGAAAGTGATAAAATCACTTTCGAAAAAACGCTTCGATGCAAATCGGTAGTTAGTATTTTCAAGGCAGTACAATCTAAACCAAGCACAGTGTAAGCTAGCAAAGTTAGAAAGTATTAAATTGAATCGGCCATTTCAAAAACGACTTAGGTCACAGATTTTTCAAAACTGTCTTTTTATCAAATGTAATAATTATATACTTAGCTACGTATTCTGTGTAAAAACTCAATTTGTCAGACTCATATTTAATACAAATGTTGAGTACAAGAAATTTGAATCACTGCAAAATATTTATGAAGTTTCTTGTAACTAGTGTGATATTTCAAATTTGTGACTTGTGTCGTTTTTTAAATGACCGATAAAATTACAAAATAGAAGCATCAAAGCGTTTATTTGAAAGTGATTTTATCCAAGAGGCCTAGTACAGTAGAATCTATATTCTAATATATTTTCCATTATGCCTATGCATAATGGAATCAAAGCAACGAGGCGACGGAGTGGTCACAGGTCTACAGAAATTATTACAAATAAAAGTGATAAAATTTAATTTTGAAAATGATATTAAACTTCAAAATTGTTGTAGTTGTAATAATTATTACAACTGATAAGCAACAGAATTGACGCTGAAAACAATGCGAGGTAACATAAATTTGTTTAACCATGTCTTAAAACCGTCACATATTAATTATGAACAACTTTTCAACGGGTGCTATGCTGTTTCTGGGTTTCACAACTATCAAAAAAAAAAACAACTAGCATTAAATGGAGAACAATTCTAAGAATGACTTTTGTCCGCCTAAATCAGCTATTTTGCCCACTGTGCGCCGTGAGCTTGTTCGGCGTAGCCGGACACAGTACTCAGAATCTGTGACCTTTTCGGTCGCCTGCTAGCTACCGTTCCTGCCAGCTACTAGTTTTTCAATAAAACGTTAATTTTGGTGCATGAAAAAATGACAAAAAAAGTTTTTCAGCCGATTCTGCAACCACGACATTTCAAAATAGTTTTTAAAATTTTGATTATTTGTATTGTGAATATGAATATTTTTGTTCAGTATACTATTAGCGTATATTAACAATATTGCACACAACACCTAAAATCACAAGTAAAACAGCAAACACTTAATTGGAACCATTCGGTAAGCCAAGATTAATTATCATAGTTTTAGCAAACTGCATGTGACACCAAGCCTCTAAGAGCAGTTGTTGACGTTATTTTAAAATACGTGCGGAGAAATTCAAAGTATAGACGCGGTATAACATCACAATATATTAAAATGCTATTTTATTGAGAAATTAATTTATCATAGCCGATTAGTGACCAGTTAGTTAATTTCGTTAAAAAAACATGTGAATATATAGTATTGATGAACGTAGTCATTAGTTTTCCATGAACTATAGATCTATGTCAGGCCCTGCGTCCTCAATATGTTGACCAATAGTATCGTTGACAACATGATGGCGTTGAATTTAGTGCTTCTAACGTTCTCTAGACACACAGGGCAATTCTTGAACAATATGTTTGAGCTTTGCGTCCAGCTTTGGGTCTTTAAATACAATAAAACAAATTACTATATTATTTTTGATTTGATTTTCAATTAGAAATTATCGTACTAACTATTAAAACATGGACTGAAAATGGAGAAAGAAGTATTGATATACTGCTTTCTCCATGCTTGATTATATTTGTTTTGATACCAATATTAAACTATATTAATACATCCATAAAATATTGGTTGATACAGGATATTTTATAGGCTATTAAATATTTCTAAAATAAAAAAATTAGTTGTGATTTTGTTAAGGGGTGAAGTTCATCATGCTGACCTTAGTAAGGGAGATCACTATCATGAAAACATCTGGGTGTCTCAATTTAATAGCTTGAACCATTATCAATTGATAAATATGAATGAGAAAAATATTTTTAAGTAAGTAAGTAATAGTTTGCTTATAACACCTATTCGTTTTAGCGATCTAACACGGTTGTTAGGAAATGTGGGACTTGCATAGTCTAAGTGTACGGTTTTCCTCACCAATTTAGCGAGGAAGTCCGTGTACACCGATATAGCCATTACGACAGGATGCCAAAATGTTGCGTACAGCAGCAACACTAATATAGTCTTGATGTGCACCTGCGTGTGTAACAAACGTTAAGGGTAGTTATTTTACATGGGTTTTTTTTTTTTACAAAAATCTTTACTTCTGCTGTAAACCGAACGAATCTGTTTTGCGGTTTTATGTTGCACGGCCATAGGTCCATTTTTGATATGACTATCACGGTGCTAAACATAAACAATGTGGACGAAACGTTGAATTGTTCGTCGAAGGGAAAAATCTTCCAACCTACATTTGTTGTTGGACACGTTGGCACAGACTCGGAGATGGTGCAATACAAAAACGATGTAACTAACGCAAGCAATATTTTTTTAATGATTTTAATGGTGACATCGAGACAAAACTTCATTTTAGCTGTTGCGAAAACTACACAACGCTCATGCAATTTATGTACTGTTGGAAAAATATTTTTGTGACACACAGGAAAAGCTGCAAGCTTTGGAAACACGCTTGAAAAATGAACCTGAATTTTACAAATTAATTGTAAGTATAAAATATTATTTTCTTGTTTCTTTTTATTGCTAGATTTTTAATTAATTGTAACCGTTTTTTTTAAAGTGTAATGGAATGAAAAACTTTATTGACCCAAAAAAAAGTCTTTACTTGATTGTTGCTCGAGTTTTGAAAGAAATTATTCATTCTCAAGTCCTGGACACACATTATGTAGCTCAAGGATTTTCTAAAAATAAAGATAATTTTGTCTTAACTGAAATTTTTAGGTGTATCAAAGGTAAATTATCATATTTCTATACATTTGTCACGTGGTTTACATATATACATAAAACAATTACTGTTTGAAATTAAAATATAATACGTTTGTTACAGATGCTATTATTAATGAATTTATAAGATCAGAAAAAGTTCCACCCAAAGATAGCGAATTTAAAACAGCATTGAGCAATGCGTTTAATCTATCAAAAGACTGGAAATATCTTGGCGATGGAAATGGTGATGGTGGTGTACGCCAGAAAAATAAAAGTTCATCTACGAAGCAAATAATTGAGAAATGAATTTTATTAATATTTATATTCTTGTAAATAAAACTATAATAATTCGTATTCTTATTAATATATATTAAACTATATAAAACCAATACTTATAATATTATTACACATAATATAATAATAATCATATATAAATGGACTGTAGGTCACGTCCTCCAGTGATATTATATCACCTCAGTATCAATAAACAATCTTTATTAAATGAAAATTTAAACGTTACTACAATTTATCTACTTTTCTTGTTTTAATTTATCATTTTATTTAAAAATTTAAATTTACAGCATAAGAAATAACAAAATGCATCTAAAGTATATAAAATTTAAAGGTTTTTTTTAAACATTTTCTGCATAAGGACATAACATAAAGTTTTTGTGAATTTTTTTTTTAAGTATTTGTATTTGTTTTTTTTTTTTTTTTGTACTTATTTGTAAGAACGTGAATGGTTATACAAATATATTAACACCTTTTTTTTCCACTTTCAAATGTTTTTTTTTTATACATTTGTTTTTGTAATATCATATGTGTACCAAACCTTAAAAATATATGTTTTTTCCAGACATTTTTTTATTGCATATTAACTCAATTCCTACCATTACAATTAAACAATTCGTTTGCCTAAACTTGTACATCTATTAGGTTTCTGTTACGATGGATTCTGGCAAATTATTGTGTATTGTTTGGTAAGCATTTGAAGTATTTTTATTTTAACTTTCGACTTATTATCTGATTCTAATAGATTAGTAAATATCAGATAAACACAGACAATGATACTAAGATTTTCGGTAGCACAATTTGTTAAGCTATATAATTTTAATTAAACAAAATAATTAAAATTTACTTTTTGGTAAAAGTAATTTGAAAAAGGTGATGCACACATTCTCAGCTCCTTATCGAAGTTAAAACACTTTTAAAAGTGAATTTTTAAAAAATGTTAGTATAAAAGTCCGTGTAACGTGTTTCTGGGTTAACTGATTTTAAATGTTGCATCAGTTTGGATACACACAAAATAACTATTTGGCGTCGCTGGGCCAGATAGCAATTCCAAGATCAGAAGCAACTACACATAGGCTGTAACTACCGATCGAACATTGAAAGGTGGTAACATAAGAGAAAACAACATTATTTATCTTCACTTACTGTCGCTTACTTATTTTATACTTATAATATTTATAATACTTAAAATCAAGCGCAATATTAATGTCACACAAACTCGAACAATCGTTAGAACCTAAATAGTGTGACATTTGTTTATGATTACCGTAATTAAAGATATATAGTACTACGACCAAGGACAGACGTGTTGATGGGTTTTGTTAACAATGCCGGATTGTAAGAGTCTAATGGTACCAAATAAATCTGATAAAGTAACGACCGATTAAATTCTAATTGGAAAATATGAAGTCCAGGCAAGAACCGTAAACATTAGGGACAGAGTTGGGTTGATACAAGTTTAGAAATGAAAAGCGATCATAAAATATAACATCATATTTATCACTTTTTAGAGGTTTACATGTTTCGATTTGCTGCAAAACGTGCGATTTCCGGACTTCATACGTTTAAAAAAAAAGTAATAGTTTTTTTTAGAAAACATTTTTTTTCATAACACATCATTTTTATTGTTTTGAAAAATATTACAATACATATTATTATTTTATTTATATTTACTCAATCTTTAAGTAATAAATAATTAAAAAATAAATGTAATATATGGAAAATAAATATTTATTTCAAGAAATTAAATTTTTTTTCTTCATAGTTTTTTTACACAATTTTTACCATTTTTTTTTTGTTTTCACCCCTTCCCAACATAGTTTTTTTAATAGCAACATTTGAAACTTAAATGGTAACGCATACATTTTATTAACTATTAAAATTGAAAATAATGCACTAAAAATGTTGAATGGTCGATAACCAGTTTTGGATAACTATTTTTAATGTTATTGAAGTGTCAAGTTTAGGGCAGGAGGAAAGATGGATTGTAGTATTATTTTTATAAACATTATTAGGGTGTTTTAGATTGATATTAAACTAATTTTGTATCAATATTTGTATTAATACTACAAATCTAGAATGTTTTCCTTACCTAGTCTATTTAGACAAATGATAAAACAATTATTTCTTCCAGTTAGTGTCAATGGAGAACTGTTCAACCAGCATCTTTGACTCATCTTAAAACTGAAAGATCTATTATTAATAAATAAGTTAAAAGTTGAAATGTTAATTATTAAAATAATAGAGATTAAATCAATTAAAACAATTTTACAAAAAATAACACCATACTACATTACCACATTTAATCAGACTAGAGATAGTTTTAGCAACCAAACCGCTCTAATGAATAAGCATACCGATAAGCTTTTTATGACTTCAGACAACTACCATCATACTGTAAAACATAATTTACTTGTATTAATAGTTTTATTTAAATAGGATGTAATAATATTGTCACACAAATTAGTACAATATAGTGTATGTATGAACTTTGTCGCTAGGTACTATAATTGATAAATATATTATGTTATTCATATTAAATATTGCAAGTTTATATTATGTGAAAATAAGAGTTTTGAATTATGAATTAAAAAAGAATTCTAATAAAAATATTCATTTAATATTAATAAGAAACGAAAGTAAATTTTATTTACCAATAATTATCGTTGTCGTCATATGAACTAGTTGGTTTTTTGTCATTATAAATGTATCGTAAAAATGTGTACTATTTAAGAAAATATAATATATTTTAACACGGTTATTTTTTTTATCATTTGAATTATTGCCGTTTAGTTCTAGAGATAACAGTTAACTCTGACAAACGTTAGTTATATTTTAGTTACTTTTATTCTGATAGAATTGGCAGACTGATAGAATGTGATTTTATATTTTGGTGTTTCTGGGTTGGTCACGCTGATAAAATAAAAATTGTGTTATCTTTTGGAAGAACTCTTATCTCTTATCATTTTTTGGAAGAACTGCCCTAAACACGAATAATAATCGTGCATTTTTTATAATTATTGTATATGTTGGTACCCCTTGGAGTGGCTGTTTGTCGAGTGGCTCCGTGTCGATTTTCGGTGGCTGCTTGTCGAGTGGCTCCGTGTCGAGTGGCTCTTTGAGGTGTAACCGAGAGATCGACTATCGATTGATAAACAGCTTACTATTTAACCAGCGTTTTAATCGGCGGATTAAAGTAACTGGTGGTTAGCTAACTGGCAGTTAATATTTCAATTGAAAAATCGGGCCTTAAGCGAACAAATGCTAGCTCCGGAGGTAAAAATCGCCTAGTGAGGGACAAAACACCATTACAGCGCCAATTGCTACGTTCTTGTCATCAAGAACTAGAGAAAAGAACTTCTGATGGTGAATCTAACCTGAAGATTGTACACGTCAATGGTATACCCAAAGTGGAAATGTCCAACTCAAAAACTGGGAAACAAAGGGACCTCTGAAAAGTCACTCCTAAGGACCTTTCAACTACTGTACCTGTCAATGGATTCTACCAAAACTGTCGTGGCCTTCGTACGAAATTAGTGAAGCTTAATTGTAATGCTTCTGCTTTAGATTATATATTTTGGGTGTTAACTGAAACTTGGTTAACAAATAGTATCAACAATATTGTGAACTAGGTTTTACAAAATATAATATTTATAGATATGAGCGTTGTACAGCCAGTAGTGTTTATTTACGTGGTGGTGGTGTTCTTATTGGCATTATGATATTATGATATAAGATAATCCTTCAAAATTTATCACTATACCTATACTTAATGTTGAGCAATTATTTGTAGGATTCACGTTGGGTTCTAAAAAATGCATAATTGGTGCTGTATATATTCCTCCTAACTCCGGCTTTTGTACTTTTGATACCCACGCTGAATCTGTTGAGTATGTTATTCAGAATTATCCTTGTCATACTTTTATCTGTTGTAGAGATTATAATTTGCCTGAAATAACCTGGAGTAATAGCGTTGACGGGTTATTGTACATACGTGGTTCTGCTCTTCGCGCTCTCTGTATTCCGGAGACCTTTGCTACTTATCACTTCTATCAGAAAAATTGTACTGTCAATGGCCATAGTTCTTTGTTAGACTTGGTGTTCTGTAACGATAATCTTATTGAAATCGGCCAGTCTCTTGAGCCCTTAGTACCTATCGATTCGTTTCATCCTGCTCTAAACATTTCTTTACCCATTGATTTTACTGCACCTACCTGCGATCGAAAACAATCTTTTTTCAATTTTAGAAAAGCCAGCTTTGCTAATATTTGCTCATTCATGAATTACTTTGATTGACATTCTACTTGGATTCTCCAAAATGCTGATTCAGCTATGAAGGTCTTCTATGATGCTC